ACAGAGAGAAAGGTCTTCCTTTGCCGTTGGTTCACCCTCCAATGGCCGCCGCGGCCAGCGTGCTGCAGCCAGTGCACCGCGCTGATCCAATGGCAGGAGCCAGGTGCTTCCTCCTGGTCTCCCATGGGGTGCAGGGCCCAAGAACCTGGGTCATCCTCCACTGCACTCCCGGGCCACAGCAGAGAGCTGGCCTGGAAGAGGGGCAACCGGGACAGAATCTGGTGCCCCGACCGGGACTAGAACCCAGTGTGCCGGCACCGCTAGTGAGGAACTGTTTGTTCCTCACTTATCATAAGTCAGTGTTTGCATAGTCTTAAAAAAAGTGTTTCCTTCTGATGCAGATAGCTTAGTGCTGAGATATGCACATCCCACACCAGAGTGCCTGAGTGTGACTTCTGTCTGGCCCCTGACTCCAGCTCTCTGCTCTTGCACACCCTGGGAGACAGTAGTGATGCTCAAGTGGTGGGGTCTCTGCCACCCACACGGGAGATTCGCATTGAATTCCTGGCTTTAGCCTGAACCGGCCCCAGTCGTTACCCGAATTTTCCAAGTGAACCAATGGATGAGTGTTCTCTCTCTCTCTCTCATAAATTAATTATTTTAAAAAATTTTTCTTTAAGTTGTACCTATTCTACTTTTTATCCTCCCTAACATATGCTACAGGTTATGTTTTAAGGGAAATAGTATAACGCATATCCACCAATATGTACAGTTATTATATTTTACTATTTCTAATGCCTCATGCATGTAAGATGATTTTTCCAGGTTTATATTTTTATTATAAAAGGCACATAGACATATATCTAAGCTGCTGTGCCCTGCCATACTTTGGGGTGTTTGTTTCCAGGCCTCTCCTTGGCACCAGTACAGCCTTTAAAGCAGTACTGGTATAGCCATAAATTCTAGTGGTCACAGAACATCAGATCCAAATACATTTCACAATTTACTAAATTTTTCCCTTTTAGTTGAACACTTATATTATCTCTAATTTACTGCTAGTATCTTAATATCATGTAGCTTTTTCCTAAACTTATGATTAAGTTAGAATTTTTGGGACCAGTTATATGAACACTTAAAAACCTGTTGATTTATGTTGACAAAATGATTTCCTAAGCTATTATATACTTCATTTCATTAACACATATTAGTGTCTGTTTTTGTGTACACTGCTAGTAACATCAGTGTTTTCATTTAAAATAAACTTACTAGTTTGATAAGAAAATTTACCTCACATTTGTGTTCCTGTTGCTGAATATTGCTGATATTTTTCAGTGCTTTGACTTCCTAATTTGTGAGTTGACTGTTCCTAATCTTCGTCTATTCATTGGTGGGAGCCCACTTATAGAATGCAGTTATTGGGCCTCTTCCACCATGCCGGCTTCAAAGTGCTTTTTCAGCCACTTGACTGGCTTTTTATTTGTAATGTATATTAGTTTGTGCTTATGTATATACATCTGCAAATTCTATATAATAAAATTCTACCAGCCTTTTTCTTTTGTTGTTTGAATGCTTCTGAGATTAGTAAACCTTTATTCTACCCCCAGGTTTTAAAATTTTTGTTCTAACTGATACATTGACTGGTCATGATCTGTTAATTTGTGTTTCACTGCCTTTTAAGGGAGGAAAAGAAAGGCCGTGGGTCCTGGTGTTCTTGGCTGGTGACTGAACTGTGATGCAGTTGGCTCTGCTGCTTTTTGGCAGGTGTCTAAACTCGGTCTCTGAAAGCTATTTTCTGAGACTTCCGAAGTGTGGACACTGGAACACCCATGTTGTGGGCAGTGTACATGGCCCTTTCCTGGGCCCGCTCAGTCTCCACCTTTTCTTTCTACATAGTCACCCTCAGGTGGAAGCCCTCCTGGTGCAGCTTCACACCAGGTCTTCAGGACTGCCGCACCTTGTGCCCACTGTTAGGAGAAGGGAGTTACACCCCAACCCAGCAGCGGCCTTCTCCTAACCTTGCTGTGGAATCATCTCGTTCTTCGTGGGATTGACTTACGGATGTGCAGGAGGAACGCAGATACCCATGTCCTCTAAACAGTCCGCAGTCACCTCTGTGGAGTCTGTTATGTCCTCTGTACAGTCTTTAGAGGAGCTGTCCCAGTTCTGATCCAGCTCCCCGCCAGTGCAACTGGAAAAGCAGCAGAGGATGACTCAAGCATTTGGGCACCTGATACCCATGCAGGAGACCCAGAAGGAGTTTCAGGCCCCTGGCTTTGACCCAGCCCAGTTCTGGCTATTGCTGCCAATTTAGAAGTGAACCAGCACTTGGAAGATCGATCGATCCCCCACCCCCCGCCTTTCAAATAAAATTTTTAAAAAGATTTATTGTTTATTTATTTAGAAAATAAAATGTGGGGTGCCACATTTTCTTCTCAGAAATCTGTTCCAGGCCAGCGCCGCGGCTCACTAGGCTAATCCTCCACCTGCGGTGCCAGCACCCCGAGTTCTAGTCCCAGTTGGGGTGCCGGATTCTGTCCTGGTTGCTCCTCTTCCAGGCCAGCTCTCTGCTGTGGCCCGGGAGTGCAGTGGAGGATGGCCTAGGTCCTTGGGCCCTGCACCCCATGGGAGACCAGGAGGAAGCAGCTGGCTCCTGACTTTGGATCGGCATAGTGCGCCTGCCTTAGCGGCCACTTTGAGGGTGAACCAACGGAAAAAGGAAGACCTTTCTCTCTCTCTCTCTCTCACTGGCTAACTCTGCCTGTCTTAAAAAAAAAGAAAATAAAAAAGAAAATCAGACTTACAGAGAGAGAGAGGAAGAGACAGAGACAGAAGTGTGTTCTGTCCACAGGCTCACTCTCCACATGGCCACAATGGCCAGGGCTGGGCCTGGCTGAAGCCACGAGCCAGGAACTTCTTCCTGGTCTCCTATTAGCTGCAAGGGCCCAAGGACTTGGGCCATTCTTTGCTGCTTTTCCCAGGCCATTAGCACGGAGCTGGATTGGAAGTGGGGCAGCCGGGACACGAACCCATGCCCATATAGATGCCAGCATTGAAGATGGTGGCTTTACGTGTTACGCCACAGCACTGGCCTCTCATAAATTTTCTAAAAATCTCAAAAAATAATGGGCCTGGCACTGTGTCATAGCAGATAAAGCTATGGGTGCCGGTTTGTGTCCTGGATGTTTCACTTCTGATCCAGTTCCCTGCTAATGAGTGTGGGGAATCCCACAGGAATCTCAAAAAGAGTCACAGATCACCGCTTACCTGGAAAGGAGATGAACTGTGGAAACACAGTAAAACACTGAGTTAAGAAGTACCACGAGCCACAAAATAAAAGTAAAGTGGTTATCAGTCAGGAGCTGAGGCAATGCCTAACGGCTGTTAGGGAGACACTCCTAATCATACCAGGCAGACATCTCTGGTCAGTCAGGTAACAGTGCACTACGGGCAATACCCTCCTACCCACGCTGACGGGACAGTTCAAACATAAGCAAGGAGGAAACGGCATTGATTGGACAAGTTGGAGAACAGCAAGCTGGAGAACTGCCAAAAATGAGGATAAAAAGGGAACCCTTGCACCACTCTTCATCCTCTCGGGGATCATGGCCCGGTGTGTGTGAACCTCTGGATCTCCACACATCCGGAGCTGAAGTGGCAGCCTGCTACTGTGCACGGAGCAGGTAGCAGCACAAGCCGACCTGCAGAGCTGTCCCTGAGCTGTAACCTCACTGTCTGTGTGAGTGTGTGTCTGTGAGTGTGTGTGTGTGTGTGTGTGCGTGGCCCAGTGCAAGTGAACCTCTGGATCTCCTCGCATTTGGAGTCGAAGAGCCAGCCTGCAGGCTTTTGCTACGTGGCACAAGGCAACGACGGGATCAAGAGGCCAGTGGAGCTGCTGTGTTGCTGTCCTGCCGTGTGTCTGACCAGCCAAGATGCCGTCTCACCGCCTGGCCTGGAGTCATTATCAGCCTGCTGCCAGACCTGACCCCGAAGCCGGACCAGGCCTCTCAGCAGGGGACCTCTCCAACTTCTCGCCTGGCCGTCCGCCTGGGAACGTTGAGCCTACTGCCCAGAGTGACGGCCTTCCCACAACTTCCTGCCTGTAAGTGACTGATCCGAGATCCGCCTCTGCCAAGACATGGAGCTCTGGACCTTGAACACTGACACTCTTTTCCGTGACCGTCATACGAGCCTTGAAAACACAGCTTTTACAAATAGTGTTAGTCATGTGTAATACATGCTTTGACCCTATGTTTTGACCCTATGCGAGGTATCTGTAAATAATGCTGGAGACCTTGATGTACATATGCTATTATAATTAGATAACCCTTAAAATTACTTTAACACTGTATACTGTGATCTATGGATTAATGAATAAGTTCAAGTAGTATTATTGATATTGAGTCCTCTAGTCATTAAGGAAATAGTGTTACTCTGATAAATATTTTTTTTTACAGATCAGTTTAGTATGCATTAAGTAAAGATTTCAACAGTTTGCACCCCCATAGAAACACAAAGTGAAATATACTGTTTGAGTACTCGTTATAGCATTAAATCTCAATGTACAGCACATTAAGGACAGAGATCCTACATGAGGAGTAAGTGCACAGTGACTCCTGTTGTTGACTTTACAAATTGACACTCCTGTCTATGGCATCAGTAATCTCCCTATGCTCCAGTCATGAGTTTCCAAGGCTATGGAAGCCCTCTGAGTTCTCCAACTCTTATCTTGTTTAGACAAGGTCATAGTCAAAGTGGAGGTTCTCTCCTCCCTTCAGAGAAAGGTACCTCCTTCTTTGAAGACCTGTTCTTTCCACTGGGATCTCACTCAGAGATCTTTTTGCCAGAGTGTCTTGGCTTTCCATGCCTGAAATACTCTCATGGGCTTTTCAGCCAGAGCCGAATGGCTTTAGGGCTGATTCTGAGGCCAGAGTGCTGTTTAGGACATCTGCCATTCTATGAGTCTGCTGAGTATCTCGCTTCCCATGTTGGATCACTCTCCCCTTTATTTATTCTATCGGTTAGTGTTAGCAGGTACTAGACTTGTTTATGTGCTCCCTTTGACTCTTAGTCCTTTCATTATGATCAATTGTGAACTGAAATTGATCACTTGGAATAGTGAGATGGCATTGGTACATGCCACCTTGATGGGATTGAATTGGAATCCCCTGGTATGTTTCTAACTCTACCATTTGGGGCAAGTCAGCTTGAGCATGTCCCAAGTTATACATCTCTTCCCTCTCTTATTCCCACTCTTATGTTTAACAGGGATCACATTTCAGTTAATTTTCAACACTTAAGAATAACTGTGTGATAATTACAGAATTAAACCAGTCATATTAAGTAGAACAGACAAAAAAAATACTAAAAGGGATAAAGTATTAAGTTGTTCATTAACAGTCAGGGCTATGCTGATCAAGTCACCGTTTCTCATAGTGTCCATTTCACTTCAGGAGGTTTCCTTTTTGGTGTTGTCAGTTGTCACTGATCAGGGAGAACATATGGTATTTGTCCCTTTGGGACTGGCTTACTTCACTCAGCATGATGTGTTCCAGATTCCTCCATTTTGTTGCAAATGACTGGATTTCGTTGTTTCTTACTGTAGTATAGTATTCTAAAGAGTACATATCCCATAATTTCCCAGGTTTCCCGAGCTTTGTCAAGTGGGGCAGCAGAATTAGAATTTAGTCAAGCCTGGCTCTTTCTGGGTACGGTGGGTGTATAGTGTTTGTACCTATACACCTCAGAGAATTCCCATGTTGTAACATAATTAAATAGTCTTAATGATTTTTGTTTTTAATTTGAGAAGCATGTTGACAGAGAAACAGAGAGCTCCCATCTTTTGATTCACACCTCATACACCCTCAATGGCTGGGCTTGCGTCAGGAGCTAGCAACTCATTCCAAGTCTCCCACGAGGATGGCAGGGACCCAGCTGCTTGAGCCGTCTCTCTGCCTTCCAGGGGTGTGTTGTCAGGAAGCTGGAATCGGGAACTGGAGCCTGATATCAAACCTAGGTACTCCAGTATGGAACACGGGCAGCGTGACCACCAGGCCAAATGCCCAGCCTTTAATTAAGTCTTGATTTAGGTTTCAGGGTCAGTAATACTGGAGAGGCGAGTAGAGAATAATGATATTTTTTAAAATTAACACTAGAGTGTGGCTGACTGTAATGTGTGACGTTAACTGTTTTATCTGCTTCTAGAACAGTACATTGAAAAGATGCTGCAGATCAAAGAGGTTGTGGATAATGTGCTTGCCAAACAGAAGGCAGAAAGAGATGATCTGGCGAAAAAGTACAGGTGAGTGAAGCAGGAGTGCTTCAGAGTTTCTGGAATTTACCCGTTTTTGGCTTTAATAGTTAGGCCTGGAATTCCTTAGGAATACAAACATTGCTTAAGATTAAAAAAATGATTTTATGAGGTTTTCTAAGGACATTTTGGATGTAAATACGAAAGATTCCTATCTGTGTTTTCCCCCTGAAGTTACCAGACAGGAGGAAGCCTGGCTGGTGTCCTCCCATTAGAGGAGGGATGGTTATCAGGGAGAAGGGGCAGGGTGTTTGAAGTGCAGATACTGGGCTGCACCGGGAAGGTTATTGAGATGACTTTGAGATGCAGATGCTGGTCCTAAATGTCAGTTCATTAGGCCTTTGTCACATACACATAAGCTCATTTCTGACTTCCTACCTAAAATAATCACCATGGGGAATTATACTTCCCAGAAAGATATTTTTGTATTTTATTACTTGAAATACTCAGAAAAGAACTTTTTAATATGTGAAAAAAGTTGTCTATAAATTCTATGAAAGTCTGTCTGACCACAAGTCCCACAGGTAAACTTCTTTCCTTAACGCACTGGAGTTTTCCACTTTAACTTTCTACTCTTGATGCTGAAGGCTTTCCTTCCGAGCAGGGGATTGTGCCTTGCTTCTCCCCAGCGCACAGCCCTGGGAGCTGCATCGTGACCAGGCAGGGCTGTGTCTTCTCCCCCTTTCTCAGAACAGTGTTCTGTGACTTTTTCTTCCTTGGGCACTGTTCTATATTTTCATAGACTTAGCTATATATTCCCCTGTTCTTTATTCACATTTTAAGTTTCCAAATATTTCCTTTTCTTTTTAAAAAATTTTATTTATTTATTTGAAAGGCAGAGAGAATGAGAGAGAGAGAAAGAGATTGAGATTCATCTTCTGTCTGCCAGTTCACTCCCTAGATGATTGCACGGGCCAGGGTGGTCCAGGCTGAAGCCAGGAGTCAGAGCTCCATCTGGTCTCCATCTTTGGTGGTAGGGCCCAAGTACGTGGGCCATCTTCTGCTGCCTTTCCCAGGTGTGTTAACAAGGAGCTGGATTGGAAGTGGTACAGGCAGGATTCAGCAGAACTCCAGTATGGGATACTAGCGTTGCAAGTGGCAGCTTTACTCACTGTTCCACAATGCCAAATATTTCCTTCATGTTCTTGCTTAATAATCATTTGACGTCTATTTATATTCAGTTTTTTTCTGAATTTAGTTAAACATCAGTTCTTTTATTTTTACTTATTAATCTACTCTCTTATACCCACTTTGCCTCTCTCCCTCGTGAATAGTTTCGTAAGTTCTTTTCTGTTTCCTGGCTTGCCTCTTGTCGTTACTGAGTAAGTCAGTGTACTTTCTAGGGGCCTTGGACAGGCTAGCTTCAGCTTTCCTCTGGTGCCCCATGGCTGACATTATACCTGGAATTCTAGAAAGCTCTTGATCTCTGGGGTTTCAGGTTGCTGTTAGGCTTTGAATCTTGGTTTGAGCACTGTAAAGAGAGCATTTTTTCTTTTTTGGAGCTCTTTGTTTTATATAGGTTTTTTTTAAGGATTTATTTATTTATTTGAAAGTCAGAGGTATATATAGAGAGAGACAGAGGCAGACACAAAGAGAGAGATCTTCCATGTACTGGTTCACTCCCCAAATGGCCACAATGTCTGAAGCTGGGCCGATTGGAAGCCAGGAGCCAGCAGCTTCTTCCGGGTGTCCCATGTGGGTGCAGGGGCCCAAGGACATCAGCCGTCTTCCGCTGTTTTTGCAGCACATTAGTGTGGAGCTGGATTAGATGTGGAGCATCTGGGATGAGAACCGGCGCCTTTATGGGATGCTGGCACTAGAGGTGGTGGTTTTACCCGCTATGCCACAACACTGGCCCCTTCATGTAGTTTAAAGTGTTCTAGTATTCCCTTTTTTTTCTTTCTCCTCTATCCAGCTTCTTGCATGCTACAAGTTGCTTGCTAATCTAATTTTTTAATTTAATTTTTTCTTGTTGATTTTTTCACTTGTATATACTTCCTTTAACACACAGTCTACATGGAATTTAGTAACAATAAACTTTCATAGGAAAGTGAGATATTTGTACAGTTTTGTCTTAAAATCTCAGATCTTTTTAAAAAGATTTTATTTAGGCCGGCGCCGCGGCTCACTAGGCTAATCCTCCGCCTAGTGGCGCCGGCACACCGGGTTCTAGTCCCGGTTGGGGCGCCGGATTCTGTCCTGGTTGTCCCTCTTCCAGGCCAGCTCTCTGCTGTGGCCAGGGAGTGCAGTGGAGGATGGCCCAGGTGCTTGGGCCCTGCACCCCATGGAAGACCAGGAAAAGCACCTGGCTCCTGGCTCCTGCCTTCGGATCAGCGCGGTGCGCCGGCCGCAGTGGCCATTGGAGGGTGAACCAAAGGCAAAGGAAGACCTTTCTCTCTGTCTCTGTCTCTCACTGTCCACTCTGCCTGTCAAAAAATAAAAAAAAAAATAAAAATAAAAAAAAGATTTTATTTATTTATTTGAAAGGCAGAGTTGCAGAGGCAGAGAGAGAGAGAGAGAGAGGTCTTCTATCCACTGTTTGACTCCACAAATGGCCAGGACGGCTGCGGCTGCACCAATTGAAGCCAGGAGCCAGGAGCTTCTTCTGGGTCTCCCATGTGGTGCAGGGGCTGAAGCACTTGGGCCATCCTCTACTGCTTTCTCAGGCATAGCTGAGAGCTGGATTGGAAGCCGGGACTCAAACCAGTGCCCATATGGGATGCCAGCACTGTAGGCAGCGCCTTAGCCGACTGTGCCACAGCTCTGCCAGCAAAATATCAGATCTTAAAATGGGGTCTAGGGACTTCTGGGGATCCCTGAGACCATTTCAGGAGTGTTGAATATATTGTTACAACATTATTAAAGATGCTTTTTGCTCTCATTCTCTAATGGGTGTACAGTGAATTTTCCAGAGGCTACATGATGTGTGATGATATCATTACTCTTAAGGCTAAGAGAATGAATGATTCTATATTCTTGCTTTTAAAAATTTGTTTTAATTTCTAAAGCAGTTGATGTTGATAGATATGATCTGTCTGTACAAAATCTCATTGAGCTCCTCAGTAATTCTTTGAGTATAAATAGGTCTCAAGGCCTAGAAGTCTGAGAACCACTGGAAACAAAGTGTCCAATATCCTGCTGTCATAGCCACAGAGGTGTGGGGCTGTGAGCTGTTTCCTCCTCCTTCCTCCTCGAGATTTTGAGGATTGGGTTATACCCTGGATGGCACTTGTCTGGGTAGGCCCCCTGGCCTTGGAAGTATCTCAGTGCAGGCTGGCGTTTCTCAGATCCTGCTGAAGTCATGCTTTTCCACAAAGCAGTCTTGTCCCTGCTGAGCTAAGGAACATGAGTAGAATTTACTCCCAAATTTTATTTCCTAATACACTTTCCCACTGAAGCAGGGGCCTGTCCTCTGCCCTCAGCTGCTGCCTTCCAACAAAAGACTAGTAGCTATCTAAGTAAATGACCCGAATTCTACTTCCTGTAGGCTGTGTCTCACAGCTGCCCAGTAATGGCATGAATATAAATCTGAACGACCACACGGTCACTGCCTGAACGAGGGCAGAGTCAGCTTGAGTGAGGGGCTCAGTTTCCTTTCAGAGGTGATGGGTCGTGCAGGAAGATCTGTTGTGGGCTAGTTTGGGCCTAAATTAATTTTCCAGACTCTTGCCTTTCACTCAGAGAATTCCAAGTACAGGTACAAACATGGCATGTAGTGTGATAAACTTTATTTGCAAAGTAAGAAAAAAAATCCCGAGCACATTAGGGCTTTATTTAGGGAGAGTAGGCTAAGGAAAGGGAATTACCATACGCTGCTCTCCTTGTCCGGAGTCCACAGGGAGGAGACTGTTCTGCCTGGCTTTTTAGGAGTGTTTACGTGGTCCCACCCCCATGTCCTCGGTGAGAGGAAGTTATTTCCTGGGGAGAAGCCCCTGATTGACAGGTAGGTGAACATGTCAACACAGTGAAGGAGGTGCAGCTTCCAGCTCGTGAACTTAAAATTGTCTGTCTGAGCTTCCCCCATCAGATCTTTGTGTCCTTGGAGCCAATTAGAACTGAGACAGAGTCTCTCTGACATCCTGATGACTTTGGAAAACATTTTCTACTGCTTATGTGTTTTTTCTGCTCTTTGTGCTTCCTCTTGCAGGGTGTCCATAGACTCATTTAAACAGGGAGCTCTGAGAGAACAGCTGACCAATTTGGCCACAAGACAGAAGGACCTTTTAGTTGTGGCAAAAAAACAGAAAAAAATAAGCCTAAAAATTCAGAGCTATAAGAATGATACTTCGTTGTCTGGTCTTGGTTTAAGGAAACCAGCATCGACCTCAGAGATCTCCAGTGAGAGGGACAACCAGGCGCTCACCAGCCTTGAAAACTCGCTGCAGCCTCAGTCAGATGCTCCTGACACTCTCGAAACTGGTGTTGACAGCCAGAATACCAGATTTTGTGCAAATTCAGAGGCAGTGAGAAGAGAAGAAATTTTTGCCAATGAGGTAAATGCTGAACAGAGTGTCAGTGATGGCACCTTGGATATATTGTCAGAGTCCAGACATTCAGATGGCCCTGAGAAGCCTGGGTCACCATCCCAGCCTGTTGCTGCGGTTGCACCACTGGAATCTTCACAAAAAGAAAATGATCTTCCAGAAACTGCAGCCAGCGGGTGTGAGTTCTACAGTGCTCCTGCAGAAGTGGGCACATCACGGATTCCAGAGGCTACCGGCGGACCTGCCCAAAATGATGCCTACCCATCCACTGTTAGGTGGGCTGAAGACCTTTCCACTCGGGAGTCACAACAGGGAAACAAGACAACCACTTTCCAGCAGCCGCCGCGGGCGACATCCAAATCCCTGGCACATCCAGGGGCTGTGGCCTCAGGCGGTGATGTGCAGCTGGCGGGCCCGTCTCTTAAGCCAGCAGCTGCAGCTCCACACACAAATGCCTGCCATATTCCCTCTGGGGCGGGTCAGCAGCATCTCATTAAAAAGCCTGTAAACCACAGCCCAGCTCCCAAAAAGAAGTGTATGCAGATAAAAGATTTGATGTCACTAGGCAGGATTCGTCCAGGAGTTAACATTCTGGAATTCAAAACACAGGTACTAATTTTTTCTCTATACTCATGCAGATTTTGTGGTGGGTAACTGTCGCTGTGGCATAGTGTAGGCATTTGGTTCTGCTAAAGGCAGTGGGGTTTGGCTGGGCTTCTTGAGTGAAGGATTGCACCTGTTGTGTTCTTAGCAAGAGAGACGGTGCTTTTGCAATTGCTCTCATAGGTTTGGTCTTAAACGAGAACTAATCAGTTAGCAGGAAGGATTTAAAAGCAACGTCAGAATAATAAATTCTTGCTGTCTTTGGTTCCTAAGTCTCAAGAATGACTAGTGTGCTGCTATGACTTGGAGTTTGGGTAAATCTGACTTGATTAAAACAGTATCACATTTGCATGAAAGTTCTGGAGGAATCAAGGTTCTGCCAGATACCCCTACAAAAGAGGCTTCCCCTCCCCTCTCCTCCCATTTGCTTTTTGGAAGAGAAATTTAGAATGAGAAGACTCCAGCCCTTGCGCTCTTTGTGGACTATTCCAACAGAAATTCAGACTAACCAGAATTTTATTGCAATGAGCTGTTTTCAGCCCTTCCCATTTCTAGATAATAAGGCCTTTTCTAGCTACTGAGTTTTAGTTATAAGTTAGGAGCAACATATTTTAATTTTAAAGCTCCAGCGTGGAGTTTCATGAACCAATTAGAAGCTTGATCTCAAATCTCTCAGTGTTCCTCTTTCCTTCTCTGTCAACCAAGTTATTGCTAAGTAGTACCTATCTCAGGCTATTACATGCAAACCACTATGAACATTGTTGTGCAAGTTTTGGTACTAGACTTTATTTTTTCTCGTGTAAATACCTAGAAATGGAATGTCTGTATCATATGGTGGGTATACATTTAACTTTTCAACAAATTGCCAGTGTGTTTTTAAAATTTTATGTTCTCATGGGTTGTGTAAAAGTTCTGATCCCTCCATATACCCACTCACACTCAGTAAGTTTTTTTTTAAGATTTATTTATTTTACTTGAAAGTCAGAATTACACAGAGAGAGAAGGAGAGGCAGAGAGAGAGAGAGAGAAAGAGAGGTCTTCCATCCGCTGGTTCACTCCCCAATTGGCTGCAACGGCCGGAGCTGCACCGATCCGAAGCCAGGAGCCAGGAGCTTCTTTTGGGTCTCCCACGTGGGTGCAGGGACCCAAGGACTTGGGCCATCTTCTACTGCTTTCCCAGGCCATAGCAAAGAGCTAGATTGAAAGTGGAGCAGCTGGGTCTTGAACCCATGCCCATATGGGATGCCGGCACTGCAGGCAGCGGCTTTACCTGCTACACCACAGCGCTGGCCCCACTCAGTAGTTTTTAATTTCAGCCATGGTAACATGTAGTGTAGATGCATATGTGTCACATACATATGTGTAGTGATTTACTGTGGTTTTAATTTGTGTATCTAGAATGTTAATGAAGTAGAGCATCTTTTCATGAGCTATTTGCCATCAGTATTCCATGTTTATTATTTGTTGAAGTATCTGTTCAAATGCGTTGCCCCTGTTTTTTATTGGTCCTTTACCAAGCACATATTTTTTTTAATGGGAGGGGAAGCCAGTATAATGGCTAATCTTTATTGGAAAGAAGAAACTTCATAGCACATTTTGATTAAGTTAGTGCAGGGGCTTAGCGGGCCAGCTGGTGAGACACCAACAGCACTTTGTCATCCTCACAGATGCAGCCCACTGCTCACTTGGTAGTGACAGAAGGGACTACATTAGGCCTTCCTTGGTGCCTGAAGCTGCCTTTAGGGGTAGCACATGGCACAGGTCCTGTCCCTTCCATGCAGCCATCATGACCTCCCTCTCCAGCCCGGTGGCCTGTCTCTGTCGGAACACCACCTCCAGAAGCCATGGCGCGCATGGCAGCCACCCCGCTGGGTCTGCGGGCCTTCAGGGCTGAGTAGCCAGCCTTCAGCTCCGAGAAGTCCAAGCCTTACGCCCATGTCCTAAACACATACTTTTCAAATCTTTTTACTAGACCATGATGTGTCTTTTCATTCTCTTAACATTGTCTTTTAAGAATAGAAGGGTTGATTTTGTTAAGTCCAATTATTAATTCTCTCATTATGTTTTGTCATATTTAAGAATATTTGACCCAAGATAACAAGTATTTCTCCTTTTTTATAATTTCAATCCTGCATTTATGGATATGACCCATTTTGAATTGATTTTCATATCTGGTGCAGAGTAGGGAACCCTGTTCATTGTTTGAATTCGAATGTCCAATTTTAGCTGCAGTGTGTGTTGGAAAAGTTGTCTTCTCTCCTTTGAATTGCCTTTACACCCCTACCATGAGTCATTTGTTTATGTATATGCCTGTTTCTGGACTTTCTTTTCTGTTTCATTGATCTGGTTTTTTGCCCGTCTCTATCAGTACTGAACTCTGGTAGGTACTGTAGATAATTTCAGTCTTGACATCAGGTGGCTTTAGTCCTCTAATTATGTTCTTCAAAGTGCTTCAGCTGTTCTAGGTCCTTTGCAATTCCATATGAATTTTAGAATGTTTCTTACTTTGTTTTTTCATATTTTTTCTTTCTGAATTTTATTTGAAAGGCAGTCCAGCAAATGTCTGCCTTGTATAATTGGATCCTGTTTCTTAATCAATTCTAATGGTTTCTGACTTTTGGCTAGGCTGTTTAATTTATTCAAGTGTAATCCTGTTAATATTGTTGGATTTATTTGTGTTGTTTTGCTTTGTGATTTTAATATGCCTCATCTTTCTTTCCTTTGTACTTCCTTTATTGCTTTCTTTTATATTAAGTAAATATTTTCCATTGTTACATTTTAATGACTTTATCACTGTATATTTTGAGTTGTCTGTAGCACTTGCTTAGTATTTAACATACATTCTCACTTAACAGAATCCGCCTGATATGTTTACTATCTTAACTCTAGGGAGAGAAATGTAGTGCCTCACAGCATTGTTCTGCCTCTGTCCTTTCGTGATAATGTCATGTGACTATTATAAAATCAGCCGCATGTCATTCTAATATCACTTTGTAAGATGCTGTGCCTTGTAAAGAACGTGCTGGAAGGGAAGAGGGCACGCCTCAGGGCTGCAGCCCACGCGCTGAGCTGAGAGCCAAGGGCGTAAGCAGCTTTGGCTCAAGCATCACACACTCTCACCTTTGTGACCCAGTTGTCGCGGATTCTGTGTCCGCATTTGCTTCACACCTTTATTTTTTTTTAAGATTTATTTATTTATTTGAAAGTCAGAGTTACACAGAGAGAAGAGAGGCAGAGAGAGAGAGAGATCTTCCATTCAATGGTTCACTCCCCAATTGGCTGCAACGGCTGGAGCTGCGCCGATCTGAAGCCAGGAGCCAGGAGCTGCCTCCGGGTCCCCCACCCGGGTGCAGGGGCCCAAGGATCTGGGCCATCTTCTACTGCTGTCCCAGGCCATAGCAGAGAGCTGGATCAGAAGTGGAACAGCCGGGACTAGAACTGGCGCCCATATGGGATGCCGGCACTTCAGGCCAGAGCATTAACCCTCTACACCACAGTGCCGGCCCCTGCTTCACACCCTTGTGGCCCTTTCTTGAGACTTTGAGTTGTGCATGTGCTTTGTATATTACACATGACTTACGATGGGTCCCATCCTGATAAACCCATCTGAAGTTGAAAATGCATTTAATACACCTGCTCTAGCGAGCATGGTAGTTTATCCTGGCCTACCTTCCATGTGCTCAGAGACTTGGATTAGTGTGTGCAGAAAAGTCATCCAGCACAAATGCTGAATATGTCCTATCATTCACTGAATACTACACTGAAGGTGAGAAGATAGGGCTGTTCTGTTTTGCCAGCCTGGAAAAAGTCAGACTTCAAAGCATAGTTTCTGTGACTGCGTGTTGCTTTCATGCCAGAAATCAATCCTGGAATATTTACATTTGATGTTAGTTCTGAGATAGTTAGGTTTAAATATATCATGTGGTGTTTTGTATTTCTTTCTTCTTTGTTCCCTATTAAATTTTTTCTCTTTTATATCTCCTTTGTTGACTTACTAAGTATTTTTCTTATTTTCTTTGTGCTCTTAGGGCTTGCAATATGTATTTTAACTTATCAGTCCACCTTTAAGTAATATTATACCATGTTACATATACATGTTATATATGTAAAAATGTAAAAACAATGTATTTCCAGTTCTGCTTCTGACCTGTGTTCTCTATTTTACTTTTTCGTAAGTAATAAACATCACACTACGTAAGCAGATTTGAATAACAAAGCAGACTGTCTTTCCAATGTATTCTTTCTGGTGTTCCTCCTGTCTGTGCAGATCCTGGTTGGTTTCCATTTGCTGTCATTTGCTTCTGCCTGGGGGACCACCTTTAACACTTCTGTGCTGGGTGTCTGCTGGTTATGACCCTTTGTCTTTTCAGGTCTGAAAAAGTGTATTTCACCTTAATTTTTAAAGGGATGTTTATTTTTTCATCTGCTCAAATGGCGGAGAGAGAGAGAGAATCTTCCATCTGCTGATTCTCTCCTCGGATGCCAGCAACAGCCAGTGCTGGGCCAGGCCAAAGCCAAGAGCCAGGAACTCCATCTGGGTCTTCCACATGGGTGTCGGGGCCATAAGCACTTGAGCTGTCATCTGCTCCCTCCCAGCAGGCATTAGCAGGGGGCTGAAACAGAAGTGGAGCAGCTGGAACTCGATCCGGCATCCCTAGTGGTGGCTTACCCTGCACCTGCGGTGCCACCTGCTCACCTTTCGTCTTCATTTCAGAAGCCTTCTGCTAAGTAGACTCCTAGGACCTCAGTGATGCTGGTCTGCTGTTTTCTTGCAGGCATTTCCAGGGAGAAATCTGCCATTTCTGACTTCGCTCCTTTCTAAGTAACATAACAGCCTTTCCTCACTCTGGCTACTTTTTAAGATTTTTCTCTTTATCACTGGTTTTAAGCAATTTGTATTATGATGACCATTAGAGTGAGTTTTTTTTTTTTTCATGTTTCTTATGCTTAGGTTGTTGAACTTCTTGGATTTCTAGGTTTTTTTTTTTTTGTTCTTTTTCCACAGGCAGAGTGGACAGTGAGAGAGAGAGACAGAGAGAAAGGTCTTCCTTTTTTGCCGTTGGTTCATCCTCCAATGGCCGCCGCGGCTGGCGCGCTGCGGCCGGCGCACCGCGCTGATCCGGTGGCAGGAGCCAGGATCCAGGTGCTTTTCCTGGTCTCCCATGGGGTGCAGGGCCCAAGCACCTGGGCCATCCTCCACTGCACTCCCTGGCCATAGCAGAGAGCTGGCCTGGAAGAGGGGCAACCGGGACAGAATCCGGCGCCCCGACCGGGACTAGAACCCGGTGTGCCGGCGCCGGTAGGCGGAGGATTAGCCTAGTGAGCCGCGGCGCCGGCCCGATTTCTAGGTTTTCTTTTCCTCAAGTTTTGAAACTTTCAGCCATTGCTTCTTCAAGTATTTTCCTTTCTGCTCCCTCCTTTGTGGACTGAAGTTACACTGATATTAGGAGGCATTCCACGACTCACTGATGCTCTGTTCATTTTTTAAAAATTCTCTTTTCTGTGTTTCATTTTTGTGCAGTCTTAGTGTTATGTCTTTGTATTCACTAATCTTTTTATTTGTAATGTTTAATTTGCTAGCAATCCCGTTCATTATATCCTTTGTCTCATACATGATAATTTTCATCTCTAGAGGTTTGAGTCTCTTTTATATCTTCCACGTAATTTTTTTTTAATTTGAAGGGCAGAGTTAGAGAGAGGGAGAGATAAGGAGAGATCTTCCTTTCACTTATTGACTCCCTGAATGCCCACAACGGCTGGGGCTGTGCCAGGCTGAAGCCAGGAACCTGGAACTCCACACAGACCTCGCATGTGGGTGGCAGGGGCCCAGTTACTTGTACTGTCTCCTGCTGCTTTCTCAGGTGCATTAACAGGGAGCTGGATAGAAAGTGGAGCAGCCAGGACTCAAGCTGGCACTCTGGTATGGGATGCTGGCGCTGCAAGCCCTGGCTTTACCTGCTGTACCACAACACCAGTTCCTAAGTCTTAATTTTTTACTGGATCGCAAACATTATGAAGTTTGCCTTTTGTATTCTTATAAATATTTTGAAATTTTGTTCTATAATGTAGTTAAGTTACTTGGAACCAGTTAGTTTCTTTGGTGTCTTGTTTTTAAGATGTGTGAGGCAGGATTGGAGCAGCGTTAACTTTAGGGCTCAGCATTTTCCACTAGTGCATCAAGGCTCTCAGAGTACCTTCCCAATTCCCCACTGGCTCCGAGGGTTAGTATCCCAGTCTTGCTGTTGGAACGCCCCACTCCCTGCCCTGTGGGAGGCCCAGTGCCTGTACCTCCAGGCCTTTCAAGTGGCTGTGCCTTTGGTGAGTTTCTGCCCACCCGCATGCCATTACTGCTCAGAGGCCACCTCAGGGGAGCCCTCTGATCGTGTACAGAGTTCTCCCTCCTTCCGGCTCTGCCCAGCAGCGTCCTGACCCCTGGCCTCCAGGGCACTGTGCTCTGTCTGCTCAGCTCAGGGAGTCCCCAGCGTCGCCCGGGTTGCCTTTCCCCCTGGTTGGCTGGAATGCCTGCAGGAGGTCAGCTGGGGCACCTGTGGGGCTCACCAAGCTCTGTCTGAGATCACTGTGCTTTGTGTTTGGTGTTTGTGATTATGTTAGAGTGAATGTGGTCGCTATTCATGGCCAGAAGCAGAAGTTCACTTATTGTAGCGATTTTTAATCTCTGTTTTATTTTTCACTTCAGGATTCTACTCACAAAGCCAGCATTTTATTGAGCGGTAAAATTGAAGTAGAAAATGGTCAGATTTATCAAAACCCTGTTAGCTGGATCAAAGATCTGCTGGGTGGCGGCAGTTATGTGACCTGGAATTACGCTTGGAGCAAGGTGGGTGCATCATTCCTCCCTTCCTCCCTCCCTTCTTTCCTTCTGTTTATTTTGTGGTCATTCTTAGGTTTAATTTCCTATTCAAATGGAATGGAATATTTTTTTGGGGGTTGGGGGGGTGGGGGGGATGCTGAGTTTTTGTTGTTGTTGTTGTTGTTTTTAAGAAATCTGAATGTGAATGACCCCAGAGCTGGCTTTGGTCCACATGGGACCCCCTCCACCCTCGCCGAAATCCCCACAATGTGGTCACACAGACTCCCCAGGACTCCCTTCCTTGCTCCTCACCTGGATTCAGAAACTGTGCTGCCCCTTCTCTTTCCCTTTGATCCTGCACAAGGGATTTCAGTCTTTGTGACTCCCTGTAGAAAATTTGGGACCCCTGGTGCATTGATAATTTAGTTAATATGTGTTACTATTATTCTAATGAAGTAAAACATAATATTTCCCTAAATACAAAAGGGACCAGCAAGAGACTTAAGACCCGCAGGAATTCTCCCCCCCTCCTAGCCCCTGCTGTGTGACTTCTGAATTCAGTGTCTTCCTGATGGAAGTTACTTTTTGCTGCATTGTCCATGGTGAACATTTCTGTTGACTAGTTCTGAGGGTGGTTGTACGGATACAGGGCCAGAGGTGGTTGTCAGCCAGAAATGCCATAAACGCAGTCGTGCCGTGCATCAGACGGAGGACAGAGCCACTAGACAGATGACTCACGTCTCCCACCCAGCAGCTGCGTTACTTCGTAGCTTTGCCAAACGAATCCTGTGCTTCTGCCCACAGCATCATTGTCTTCGCTCTCTGCTGTGTCCTCTGGGTGAGAGACAGGACACCAAGCTGTTTCCTGGTTCCACTGGAAGTTGTGTGGTTTTCAATCATGACTACACATTAGAATCGCTTAAGGGGTTTTTAAAAGAATTACCAATGCCTACTGGACCGTAGCCTCATAGCTTCTGATCTAATTGAATGCTTGGATGTCAAAATTTTTTTGTACCCTGGGGCAGGCATTTGGCGGTGTGGTCAAGACTCTGCTTGGGGTACTTGAGTCCCATGTGAAAGTGCCTGGTTTCAAGTCTTGGCGTTGTCCCCAGTTCCAGCTTTCTACAAATGCATACCGTGAGCGGCCAGAGGTGGTAGCTCAAGTTGGGTCCTTACCACTTACGTGGAGACTGGACTTCAGTTCCTGGCTCCTGATTTTGGCTTGGCCCGGCTCTGGCTGTTGCTAGCATTTGGGATGTGAACCAGTGGTTGAGAGATAATCCCTCTGTCACTCAGTCTCCCTCTATGTTTGCCTTTTAAGTAAAAGAAATAAGTAAAAATTTGAAACATTTTGCATCAAAATAAACTTATCTTAGAATTCCCTTTTCTGTGAACTTTTTGAAGTGTCCTTGTGGTTTGGTTGGGGACCAGATGATAGCATTTTAGAAGCTTTCCAAGTGGTTCTCTCGAGAATCATCCTCGATCTAAGTCAGCTGAATCCACCTCTCTGAACCTGCATTCTTGTGTATAAAATAAGGGCTAGATGGGAATTTTAAATTTTATTTTACTTATTTGAAAGGTAGAGAGTTACAGAGAGCAGGGGAGAGAGAGAGAGAGAGCGCACACCCATCTGATAGTTCACTTCCCATATGGCCAAAGTGGCGAGGGCTGGGCCAGGCCAAAGCCAAGAGTCTAGAATTCTGTCTGAGTCTCTAGTATGGATGGCAGGGGCCCAACATACATGGGCCATCTGCTGCTGCTTTTCCCAGTGCATTAGCAAGGAGCTGGATTAGAAGTGGGATAGCTAAAACTCGAACTGATGCTCATATGGGATGCCAGCACCAGGGGTGGCAGATTAATCCACTGAACCACAGTGCTGCTCCCAAGGGGCTAGATGGTTTGAAAGATGCTGACAACCTGGAGATTCTAGGAATCGCATAGCGCTGTCGCTTATGGCGCACCTCCACACAGCAGCCTCATCAGGTGGGAGGAGCAGCTGTCACCCTGCTACAGATAAAAGCAGAGTCTCAGTGGCCTGATTAGCCTCCAGGACCAGGACTAGAGCCTTACTTTCTGATTTTTTGTACACTGTTTTCTGCAATTATAACAGTGGCACAAGGAAGACTACAACTGTCATTGGAAAGGTGTTGCGCTGGATAGAAGCGAGCATGTAGCATTAGCTGGTCACCTTTCTGAATACATGCAAAGCCTCAGTCTTGTGCAACAAAGATTTCCCACTTCCACAGAAAAAAATGCCTTTTTGTGAGCTAGTTGCAGTATGCAAACTAAAAAAAGCATTTTAACAGGGCTGACTGCTCATTCGTGTGAAAGCCCAGCGGAGGATTAATGGAGATTAGTTAGCAGTGATGTGGGAGCGTGGACAGATCTCTGTGTATTTCCCATGCAGAGCTCACTGAGTCTCCACCCTCATAAGCTGAATCCTCTGGATGTGGTGTGGTTCCCTGCCCTTCCCCACCACTCTCCTGAGAAGGAGGCTCCTCCCACTACCAGGATTAGGAATATTGAGACATGGAAAGGTTGGGATGAGGAACTAGGGACACAGCTGGCCTCACTCACTCAGCTGTGCTCTCTGGGTGTCTGAGCTTAAGCCCCCCAGGAGCCCAGCGTCCATCAACTGCATGCGGAAGGGGAGAGGGAGAAGGAGGAGGGTAGAGATGTGGACCTCTTGTAAGACACAGATATCCAGGAGCAGAGAATCCTGAGAACAAAGAATGTGCAGGGCCCTCTCTCACCTCGCGGCCTGCTGTCCAGGGAGTGCAGGAGAGCTAGGACTGGGTGGGGCAGGTGAATGCTGGGAGAGCTCCCTGTACTTCTGTCCTGGGGATCTTTTTGAAGCTACTTTCTGTATTGTTTTCTGAATTCTTAAAGAAGTATTTCATTTGAGAAACATCTTATGTTCTTAGAATTTTTTTGTGATATAGTGAACTTCAAAGAAAGTTTATACTTTTGTTTCTTTGCCTTTTTTTTCCCCCACCCTGAGATAAAACACAATTATCTTTTCCTCTTTCTCACCTTGGGGTGGTGAAAATTTTTAAGACTTGCTTCTTTTTTTAATAGTTATTAGATTTTATTCTAATAACTATAATTACAGTGCTTGTCGAAATGAAAACAAGTATACAAAACAGTTGATTACTGATCATGTATTGAAAGCAGTAGAAGTTCATGACACCAAATAAAACAGTTCTGATATTTTCCCCAAAATAAACTTAACAGCTCCAGCTTCTTCAATGTTTACCAAAATACAAAAGAAAAAAGTAGAGGTCTCTTCGGATGGCAAATCGGACCCTTGCAGGCTGAGAGAAAGCTACTTCACACATGGAGGTGGGGGTGCTTCTGGGGGCTATGGCAGTAGAACTGGCCAACACTCTCAGCTCGCACATGCTTCTGCTGGTGAGACCCAAGACTTGCTTTTTGATAACTGTCAGTGGAGGGCCTGGTGCCATGGCATAGTGGCCACTACCTACAGCACTGGTATCCCATGTGGGTGCCGGTTTGAGTCCCAGCTGTTCCACTTCCAATCCAGCTCCCTGCAAATGTGCCTGGAAATGCAGTGGAAGATGGCTCAGGTCCTTGGGCCCCTGTACCCATGTGGGAGGTTGGGGAGAAGCTCCTGGCTTTGGACTGGTCCAGATCCAGCCGTTATGGCTGTTTGGGGAGAGAAAATATCTCTCTCTCTCTCTCTCTCTCTCTCTCTATCTTTGCATCTGCCGCTCCCTCTCTGTAACTCTGCCTTTCAAGTAAAAAATAAATAAATAAATCTTTAAAAAGAAAACTGTCAGTGGAATTAAAATGATCACTTGATCATCTGTGAACAGACTGCCGAAGAAAAAAAATGGAATACCAACAGGGAAGTAAATTCCTGAATTCCTTGTAAGTGTTCACAGCAGCTTACTTTTACATTTTTTTTTAAAGATTTATTTATTTACTTGAAAGTCAGAGTTATACAGAGAGAGAAGGAGAGGCGGGCAGGGAGAGAGAGAGAGAGAGAGGTCTTCCATCTGATGGTTCACTCCCCAATTGGCTGCAACGGCAGGAGCTGTGCCAATTCAAAGCCAGGAGCCAGGAGCCTCTTCTGGGTCTCCCATATGAGTGCAGGGGCCCAAGGACTTGGGCCATCTTCTACTGCTTTCCCAGGCCATAGCAGAGAGCTGGATCGGAAGTGGAACTCAAACCTGCGCCCATACGGGATACCGGCACTGCAGGCGGCAGCTTTTCTGCTGCGCCATAGCGCCAGCCCCTCGTTTTATATATTTTAATGCACAGTAGCATGTAAGTTGTAAAGAAACATTGTGAAGGCAATTAATAATGACAGTAAATATTTCACATTGTTTCTTAAGATCTTACCAAATAAAATTGACAGTTTCCTTAGGTTTGCTAACTGCATTTCCAGAAGAGTAGCAGGCTGAATGATCCAGCCTTCTCCTATGTCTGCACACACGGCTCCGTGCACCTCACTTCCAAGCCACCGCAGGTTCGTTGCTGGGTAATAGCAGACCTTGTGATTGCAGAGTGTGAGTGGAAGCATCAGGGGCTCTAACACAGGACTCCTGCAGTTCCACATTTTCAGAAGACAAGAGCACATAGCTGTTCCGTGAACTAAGCTCTGCCTCCCTGGCCTGTCCTCACCTAAGGGAGAGTAGCGTCATGTCAGCTGCCCCTACTAACATAAGTCTGGAGTGGTGACGATCCCGAGCCGTGCAACTCTTCCCGCCATGCCTCTGCCGGAGCGGGTGTGTGAGCTGGGCCTGGGCCTGGTGACACAGACCGAGTTCTAGGTTCAGGGTTTGAGTCCTGGGCAAATGTGATGTATGTTTGTATGCTTTTGCCTTCCAGAGCACGGGCACTAATGAAATTCAGTTTCCAGAAGGGACCTTCTGCCTGTTTGTTTTGAAGTCTGTCCATTAACCTGTTCAATAATTCATGCCTACTTGTGGGAAGTTGGTTTTAACTGAGTGGATTTTTCTTAAAGCACTAGCAGTCTGGGTGAGAATGCTCTGAGCTTTCTCGTCGAGTGTGTATGATGTGTTGGACACTGTCAGGGCGTGACACACACAGAATCCATTGTTTATAAGTAATTGGTTGTTTGGGAAACTAACAAGTGACCCTCGGGGGCCTTTGCTCTCCTCTTCCCGTGATGTGTGAGACAGAACTGGCACCCTGGGTAGCCAGGTCTATTGCATTTCCATCGCCAGGCTTGGCTTCTTGCCCTGAAAGGGTGCCTGTACCCTCCAGATCCCTGGGTCCTTCTCCCTCAGTTCAATTTCACATGCATTTCTAGAGCACTCAGGATGTGCTGGGTAGTAGCCAAATGCTCTTTTCTCATGATTTCTTTAATCCTCACAGTAGCTGAATAACTGGAGGTATTACTTTACAAACACACCGACTGTCAGGGCAGGTGTCTGGCACAGCAGTTGAGACACCTGCATCCCATATTGCAGTGCCTGGTGTGAGTTCTGGGTGCTTAACTTCTAATCCAGCTTCCTGCCGATGTGTGCTCAGGGAGACATCAGGTGCTGGCTGAAGAACCCGAGTCGTTGCCACCCACTTGGGAGACCTGGGGTGAGTCCCAGGTTCCTGGCTTCAGGCTGGCCAGCCCTGGATGTTGAGTGCACTCTGAGAGTGAACTAGGAGACAGAAGCTCTCTCTCACTCTGTCTCTCTGCCTTTCATATAAATATGTAAAAGTTGTAAAAAATACACAAACAGGCTTGGAGAATTTAAGAATCTCACTTAAGAGTTAGGATTTCAGTGTCTTTTCCCTAGTATTATCAGACATTCTGAGGGCATAAAAGTGAGTCTAATACAGCCCCTCTCTTCAGGGCACTAGTGGCGTGTGGAAGGAGACACCTTAAAATGCGGTTTTCCTAAGTGTCCTAAATGCTGTCAGAAATATGAGCACAGAAGTTAGGGGAGTACAGAGGGTCATTACTGGGCCTTGTGGTTGAGGGAGGATGTTCAGCTGAGACTGCTGCTTTGCCCACAGTGAACCTAGACACTGCCCTTTACAAGAGTTGGGAGCCCAAGGACCTTGGAGGCCCAAGCATTTCTGGCAGGGATCTATCTGCCTCAGCCCCTCAGTTCCTGCATAGATATTTCTAAGCTCTGACCTTCTGGGCTGCTAACAAAAGCTCAGCTCACAAACAAACATGTCCACCTAGACCTGGAATGTCATTCACCTAATCAGATATCTGGTTTCTTGGAAAGTACTATCACTTTTATGGCTTTTTTATTTAACATTAACTTCATGGGGCCAGTGCTGTGGCATAGCGGGTAAAGCCGCCGCGTGTGGCACTGGCATCCCATATGGGTGCTGGTTCAAGTCCTGTGCTCCACGTCCAATCCTTCTCCCTGCTATGGTCTGGGAAAGCAGCAGAGGATGGCCCAAGTGCTCAGGCCCCACCTGCAACCACATGGGAGACCCTGAAGAAGCTCTTGGGTTCAGCCTGGCCCAGCGCTGGCTGTTGCGGCCATTTGGGGAGTGAACCAGCAGATGGAAGATCTCTCTGTGTATGTCTCTCTCTAACTCTGCCTTTCAAATAAGTAAATACATATTTTTAAATTTTTTTAAGTTACAATGTGGCAGGTGCTGGATTAATTGTTGAATAAGTGAATGGATAACAGCATTAATGTACGACGTGAGGTAAACTTCTTTTCCTGTAGAGGGGCAGATACCAAGTATTTTAGGCTCTGTGAGTGGAACATCTCTGTCTCACTCTCTCAATTCTGTTGCAGTATAAAAGGAGCCAGACACACAAAGGAAACAAGCATCACTACATTCCAATGAAATAGTACTTATAAAATAAGCCTCACAAAGTGAAACTTTTCAGGATGTAGGTGTATTTGCCTCTTACAAAAGTGATTTCAAAGTTGGTGTTTAATCCTGCGCAGGTAACGTATCTGGGAAAGCAGCTTCTGAAGTATGTTTCTGAAGAAGTACCTTCACCTCCAAGGCCACCTCAGACTCACCCGCCAGGTAGGTGCACACCAACACCCCCCCTCCTGAGAACCACTCCTGTGGGAGGTGAAATTCATGAACCATTTCATACTGAGCAGTCCAGTGGCATCCAGTGCGTTCACCACTCTCTGCAGCTACCACTCTCTGTAGCGCCAAAGACTGTTATCACCAGAAGGAAACCCTGTACCTGCTTCCCAGCTAACAGGGAACCATTAGAAGGCTTTTTGTCTTGTAAACGGAATCTTACAATGTCTGACCTTTTCTGTCTGACTTCTTTATGTCTTTGAGGATCATCCATGTGGTTGCATGTGTCAGGATGTGGTTCCTGTAATTGACTGAATAACACCACCATCTGTCCCCTCTCATGACTAACACCTGTTTTGTGGACAGACCGCCATCTGTCCCCTCTCAGGACTGAGTAACACCCTGTTAGGGAATACATCCCTGTCTGTCACCTTTAGCAATAACACCCTGTATGTGGGTAGATCACCACCTGTCCGCTCTCCCTTTGATGGGTTTGGGTGTTTTTATTGTCTGGCTTTGGGAATGGTGCCGTTACTATGAACACACATGCACATATACTTAGCGGTGTGTCTCTTGAATGGATTGCTCTGTCATAAAGTCATTCATGTGAACTCTTCCCCACCAGCATTTGTGTTCTGTTTGTTCTACCGTAGTTGTTTCTAGGAGGATTTAAGAAGTGACAACATTTTTCATAATTCCTTTCTCTATATCTATGCTGAATTTACTTTGCACAGATTTTTTTAAAGTGTCAAAAGAGGGGAAATGATCTTTTTTCCTTTCTGAAGGCATGATTTAGATAATTTTACGTATTTTCTAAAAAATATTTATTTGCGAGGTGGTGTGTCTTGGGGGGGTGGTGGAGAGACTGTCTCCATCCACGGTCATTCCCCAAATGGCATCAACAGCTGCGTCTGGGCCAGGTGGACGCCTGTAACCTGCACTCCATCCAGGTCTCCCACAAGAGTCATCTTCTGCTGTCCCAGGTGCATTAGGAGGAGGCTGGATCAGAAATGTGGAGTGGCTAGAGTTGAAGCCAGACACTGTGATGGGAGATGCTGGTATACCAAGCAGTGGCTTAGCCCACTGCACATAGGCTGGCCTGTTTCCCATATTTTCTGAAAATAGGCACTCAAGTGAGTCAAGGGTATTATTAAAGCAATGCCCTTCACCTGATGGAGCAGACGTCAGCATGGCACACTGAGGACACTGTTGTCTGCAGTGCAGAGAGCAGACTTTGAAATGCTCTGGGATAGGGCAGGGCCTCTTTCTGAGAAGTGGGCACCACTCCAGCTGTGTCTCCTCCCAGCCACAGTGACTCTGTCCTGACAGTTGGAACACTTTAGGCAAGGAGAATGTGCAAAACAGAAAATTGGGACACTGATGACCAGATCAGAACCTAAACAGGATTTCTGTCATCATATGCCTGCCCAGGACCTCTCTGGGGTTGTTCCTCTTCTTAGAACAAGCCCCAGTGATAACTACTTTCTCCTCCTCTCTCTCTCTCTCTCTCTCTCTCTCTTTTTTTTTTTTTTTTGACAGGCAGAGTTAGACAGTGAGAGACTGAGAGAAAGGTCTTCTTTCTTCCGTTTGTTCACCCCCCAAGTGGCTGCTACAGCCGGTGCGTTACGGCTGGCGTGCTGCGCTGATCCGAAGCCAGGAGCCAGGTGCTTCTTCCTGGTCTCCCATGCGGATGCAGGGCCCAAGCACTTGGGCCATCTTCTACTGCTTTCCCAGGCCATAGCAGAGAGCTGGATTGGAAAAGGAGCAGCTAGGACTAGAACCGGCACCCATATGGGAGGCCAGTGCTGTAGGCGGAGGATTAGCTTACTGCATCACAGGATGGCCGCTTGAATTTTTAAAAGTGACTCACGTGGCTACCCTGACTGTGGGATCAGTGAGTAATATTTGATCTCTTAGGCAGGAGATGATTTGACAACCTTTGATAGTTGACCCTTTGCTTTGTTTCTGAGCCTAGAATAGCTGCGCATGCACTCGCGCGTGCTCTCTCCCTCTCTCTCTGCCCCCTCCCCCACCCCTACCTGGAAGAGTCAGTGCAGAACTGTGGGTTCTTCCTTACAGCATGAAGGCCATCTGGTTCCGACACTTTCTGCTTCCAGGCAGGCGTTTCCAACCCCAGACAGGGTCTCCTTCCTCAGACTTTCCCTGGTTATGAAATCAGAAATGGGTTCTGAGTTGCCACTTGTCTCACCCATAATAGAAATAGTTTCTTATTATTCCTTCCAGAAATCCTTATTTTTCTTTCCTCTAAGTATTTCAGAAAATGTTGAGGCTAATTTAAGAATTGTGGGCCACCACGTGCTGTTCAGCTTCTTGCCTTGCTCTGGGCCCAGGAGCCTACAGTAAGTTCTTGCTGGCTGCTGTAGGCCTCTCCTGCAGCTTTCTCTGAACCTCCTTGATTAAGACTCTTTTCTACCTGGTTTTGTGGTCCCTGGAGCAAGTCCAAGGGCCTGGCAAGTTAAACAAATGTAAAACTCTCCAACCCTTTGACAAGCAAAGCATTCAGGAGAGAATCGTTCTCTTCTGGATGTTGAAAATGGTTGTGGGAGTCACAGCTCTGATGCTGTGGACCCAGAAGGGCTTATAATTTCCGTGTGGCTGTCATCAGCCCACAGGCATTCAGGACTCAGGGGACCAGCAAGGGCTGCCTACATTTCCCACAGCCAGAGTGACCCTGCCTCCTGATGGGACCAGGGCAACCCTAATCCAGCAGAATTGTCAGTCCCACTGTGTCTTGGTAGATGAGCTGGCTTAGATGGCCCAGCACAGGACCCAAATGTGTTTCAGAAAATGAAATCTGTAAAGAATAAAAAGAGAGAGACTTTTTGATTTCATTTCCTTTTATGAGAAATGTATAGATTCTAGCATGCAAATTGATGTTTACCTTATGTATATCACTGTATATTATAAACAGTTGCCAGCTCGCTAGTCTTGTATCCACTGGTAGAAGATCTTTGAGTTCAGAGAGACTGGAACGGGTTTTCTCCATTCTGTTCCTCAGTGCTTCCCAAGAGTGTTCATGGAATACTCCTCACTCAGTGAAGGGTGAGTGAGTGGAGACTAAGTGTACCCCGAGGACTACTGTTTTAAGACTGGGTTTGCTTTGATAAACTGTCCTAATGGTAGAAATGCCTACATCTCACAGGCTGTAATGGAATTTGAGGTGAATTCAACAAATGGTAGATGAGATTTTGGATAGTTAATATCTCCTTTTCCTGAATTTGCTGTCTATAATTGTTAAATATAAAAATGGTGACCCGTCAGTTTTCTTAGCCGAAAATTTAAAGGAGAACTCTCCTTCTTCTGCTCCCTTTCTCACTCCCTTATAAAGAAATCTGTTTAACTTTATTAATCAGTATTTCCTAAACATTTTTATCAGATGATATCTATTAATATGTTAAAATGTGGTGTGTTAGCACGTTGAGGTATGTGTTGTTTCAGATTAAAGATTTTTAAACATAGAAACACAAACCCAAAAGCAACGTTCTGTTGAAACCCTGGAGCACGCTTGCCAGCTTCACAGTGGAGCCAATCCTCCTCCCAACATCCCTCCTTTTGCCTGCTTGGCTGCAGTTCTGTGTTATTGAGGGACATTTCAGGGTAAAACAGAAGGAAAAAATGAACATTCACAAACTTCTACATGATTTGTGACATTATGTTTGGACACGCTTTCCCCAGTTATTTTTTAAATTCAGTTAAAATATATCACATTTCACTATTTACCTGGAAAGCCAGTTTTATGTCTGTGTTGCCTGTCACTGTAGTACCAAGATACTGAAAACACATTCAATGTATTCAGCTAAGCAGAAAAAGAAACAAGTATTCTCTGAAGTCTTTGATTTCCAGGCCATCATTTAGTACACACTAATTGTGTATGTTCTTTCATGAGCTCCTAACATCATTTGTTCATCTGAAATTAGAAAAATCTTTCCCAGGAAGCATAGGCTTTTTGTTTTTAATAACACTGATAATTTCTTGTAAGTAAGTGGCTTTGGGAACATAGTTTTCTTCATCTCAGTGCTGTTGTTGTGCCTCATTTCTCAGTAAAAGAGTGTGTAACGGAGCAGTGTTCACAGGTGCTTCTGATTCATGTGGTTAAGAACTTCCTAGCCTTCAGCGCTGAGGAAGAGCAGGGTTTGTCTGAGCTCTTGTTTACAACCCTTGGTTCTCTCCCGCTGTTTGAGTCATGATGTCTTCACTCTGGTATCATGATTAGCACTCCTATAATCTAACCACAGGGAAGACTTGTACTGATAGGAGGGACCAAGAAGAGTGGGCATTTCTTGAGCATCCGCCCTGAGCCAGGCCCTGCTGGGTTATTGTGCATATGTTGTCCCTTAGCAGTGCAGAATATATGAACACCCCACATAGTAAATCAAGTTCACCAACCCCAATTCACCTTAAGAAAATACCTACTGGATTTCAGCTTTCCCTCAGAGTATAAGGACTTAGTTTTACTCTTCTAAATAATTATATTTCAGCTCTCTTTCTCTTTTTCTAAAGTATTTATTTATTTATTTAAAAGAGAGTCAAAGAGAGGAGTGATCTTCATCTGGTGGTTCACTTCCAAAATGCCTTCAACAGCTAAGGCTGGGCCAGGCCAACACCAGGAACCTGAAACTCCGTCTGGGTCTCCCACATGGGTGTCAAGGACCCAGGTAAATAGGCCATCTTTGTAACCAAGCCCTATTCCTCAAGGCTTCTGTGTAGAGTTTATCAGGCCACACCTCTGCCTCAGCTTGTACAGTCCCTGAGTCTGCACTGTGGTGATTACGCATCAACTCCTCACTGAAGATCAACTCACTGAATTTAGGGTGTGGCAGAAGAACGAGGAGGGCTTGATGCTAGATTTTAATTGAGATGTTATTCAGGAACTACATACCCTGGCCAAGCAAGGTAATAGCCAGTCTGCCCATAGATCCCAGCTAGGCTGGAGCCTACCTTGCTATCACCGTGTCTTCAGAAGTACATGCCGC